CCACTTTCAGCATAACAGCATGTTTATTTAGCTCTTTGGCTGAAGCTTTAAAGCCATTTAATGTAATGTAAACAAGAACATTTTGTTTGTAATTTGCTAAATGTATTACAGCCCAACTGTGTCTCCAATTAGGAACTTAAGGTTCATTTAGTAATTTACATCTGGTTCTGATTTAAGGTGACTTTCTTTCTCCACTTAAGAGCTGACTTTACATTGCTAAAAAGAACTCAAGCACCCTTTATAGATCTTTGGACCAGTCCCTTCTGCTTCAAAGCTGGACAGAATGTTTAATGTAGTAGTAGGGCTTGAGTTGTTCTCTGTTGTCACTGTGGACCTAGAGCCTACATTTCGAACACCAGAATCAGAGAATTCCAGAAATAATGGGGAGAGACAAGAAATTCAGCTGAAAACCTCATAAAAAAGATGCTGAGGGTTGCTGAAATGCCAAGGAACCTACCATAAAGGGTGTGATTTTGTTAAGTTATTATTTTTCTTTCTTTGTAGGTTCCAGTCAGTGAAAGATATGTAGCAAAGACCGGCATATCTAGCACCACAGCAATCTTATGATTCATTTCTCTTTCTCCATCTGGTGCCTGTTCAACAACTTAGTACGCTTCTGAAATGGGCTCTTCATTGTCTTACGATTCATTAGCATTTAAAACCTCGGTTTGGAATCCCAAACACAATTCTTCTCCCTTTCCAGATTCAGCACCATCTTTCAAACTATTAAAATGGAAAGTTCTCTGATATGTGGAGTGTGTTCAGTGGCTTTGGTAAGGGACTCATAAGGGAGGTTTTGTACTCCTGGAGGATTTTTATCGCTTCTTTCAGCTTCCTTTTGATTTTTCTTCTTTGAGAGATTCTTCACAGAAACGAAAGTACATATAGTTTCTCACTCACCATGGATTCTGAAAATAAAGATCTGCCCTTCTGCAGTGGCTTCTTATTCCCGCCTATACTCCACAATGAGGAAGCATGTGATATAAACATACAGCAGCTCTATTAGTCATGTAACCTCTGGCTGTCAAGAAAACATTCAATTGTAATCTCACTAATAGCTGTTTTTCTTTAAATATTGTAATTTTCCAAGCCCCTAATAAGTCATCAATAATTTTGTCCCTTTTTCCCAGTTTGTGTTTATATTTGTAGCTGTTCATAATTGTGGGCTATTATGACAACAGGATTTTTGAACAATCGGGGCACACGAAATCTTAGCCTTCTACTCCAACCAGCTGCCTAGACAATGCCAATAGCGTCACGTGGGGCTGCTTTGTAACATGCCCATTTGTCCTATATTTTGAAGTTTAATGGTCTGCCTCTAATCTGCTCCAGCAACATTCTTTGAAAAATACATAGCAGCATGTGTGCTTTCCAATTTGAATATTAAATGAGAGTAAAATACAATTAATTTAAGTTTGAAACAGAGATATTATACAATGTTGGCACAGTGAGTCAACATAAAGGGAAAGAACAGGTGGTAATATACCATAATAACACTTTTGGATAGTTTGCTGAAATTCTCTTGACGCCCGAATGTGCATTCTAGGCAGGCATGTTCGCTTTGCTGGCAATTCTTGCAACTGTTAGACAAGCTGCTGTGCAGCAGCAGAGCAGAGGCCCACCTGATGCAATATGCTCCCTTTTGTAAGCAGAGTGTCTAATTTAATTCATTTGACCCCCTCTCTGTTCATCTCTGGGATGGGCCTTCATCCTATGTGTGCCACAAGCCATACTTTTTAGCACACTCTGTAGTTTCACTATTTTTATTAAGCCAGATCATCTTTTAAGAGGAAACAACAAGCTATGCCGAACCCCTGTTTACTCATATAAGGCATGGGGACAAACCATTTTAGAGTGACCTGGGCTGCTCCCAATAGCAAGTTTTGATAATGGTGCTCAAATTTTAAAATATCATTCTTTTTTTAAATAAGAGAAAAAGATGGTTATTTTTGTTAAGGTATATTCCTAAACAGTCTTGGCATAACTTTTTGTAATAGCTGGATTCTGATTACAAAATTCATTTATAATACCAATGAGTTATATAGGTCAACTATTATAGAATTTCATCCTTTATTTATAAAATAAATTCCAAAAAAAAAAAACCCCACCTCTTTTCATTACGGGAGAACCCAAAGGTAGACTCATGACACGTTACTTATGAAGTTGGAAGTAAAACGCAAAAGAGAAAGACGAACATGTTCTGTCATCACAGGTATACAATTAAAAACCCTTAAATAGTACATCATAATTGTGATAATTTCTCCACTAGAAAGGCCCAGCCCCAATTTTCATAGACAGAATGGGAGAATGGGAGTAATTTTCCTTTTTAACATGACAGTTGAGAATAGTGAATCTCATATTCTTCAGGTCTGTAAATACCTTATTATGGTCAGACAAAAAGAATGTTGAGTATTATCTTAATGTTCCCCTCTTGCTTTAATAAAAATAAAAGGCTTTATTATAGTAGAATTAGTGGGAAAAACCTGCAGCTTTGTATTTGCTGCCTTGAGACAGAGCCAATTTTCATCATGAGAACATTATTCTTTTCTACCAGAAACACAGAAACAGGCACTGACTTTTAATATTGATAATTTCAGTAGTGAATGATTGGTAAAGGACCAATTGTGGGCTAGGGAAGGCCTTTGTAGACCTCCCCCTTTTAAAACCACTGCTCTTAAAACCACATGAGTACCTCTGATGAATGTGGGAAATAATTAGAAAAAGGTATCTAGGGTCAGGGAGAGAGATAAGGGGAATCAGAGGAGTGAGCACAACTGGTGGTTCTTGAAATGGAGTAGTGTGTGCACATGAGTGCATAAATATGCACAAAATTAAACGAAGTTTCTCTGATAAAATAGGAGCTAAGGGCACTCCTGTAAGTCTTGGAACAACATCTTGGCTCAGGTGCTGAGTCTTGGTTAGGGGAGAGGAGCTGAATCTTCAGAAGGGAATCATGGATGTCCTCTGGTGATCAAGAGCTGCTTGGGACCTAGGGAGGGCAATCAATTTCTGAATGTCTCCTCTGGGAAATATACCTCATAATGCAAAAGAGTTTATAGTATTGAAGTCTGATGCCTATCCAAGAATACATACAGGGGTTATCAAAGTGGAAAGAGGGATGTCTGGTGCAAGGCATCATAGTTACAAAGTCCAGAAAAGAGAGTTGGGACTGGGGTTGCTGGCTGATGTGCACTGAGTTTCTCATTCGGCGATGCTCTACTGAGGGAAGGAATGAAGTCACAGTACAATTCCACCATGAATGTCCAACATCATTTGGGAGCCAGCCCTTGTCTTTGGGAGTGTGAGAGCAATTGATCTGAGTCAGGCTAGAAACCAGTTCTAAAATTTTGAAACAATTATATTAGGTTTTTAAAAAGTCACAAAACACAATGTCAACTACTCTCTTGACAGTGAGATGGGTAGTTCAACTGAGTGCATAAAGAACATTTCAGGGGCTTGATTTTTGCCCTTGAAGATGACTCTTGCAACTTAGTGCTCCATATGGTAAGCTTTTGCTTTTCCTATGAAGCCATTCCCTGGAGCTGGGAATCTAGAAAAAGACACAAGGAAATGTGTAGAGTTTCAGATTGTAAAGACATTTTGGCTTACAGAAAAGGAGGCTTGGAGAGAAGGGGGGCAGGGTCTGTGTTCCGTAGTAACTGGTTTTACCATTACAACTATAGTTGATTTCACAGAGTTTGTTAAAAAAGAACTGTACGTTGAGTGATTAATTCTAGTTACAGTAATTCTATGTATCAGCCATGTAATCTTAGACAAATCATTGAACAGAATGGGGGACTCTGTCTTCTCTGCTCTGTCCCAGTGTCTAGAAAAGTGCCTGGGGCACATAGTAAATGCTGAACAAACATTTCTTGAAGGAATAAATGAGTGAATTTAATAATCCAGCCCCATTTCATAATCTGAAAAACTTGGATAAAAGTATCTATGAGTTTTGGGCAGAATAAATGAGGTAAATCATGTGAAAGCATTCTTGAAAGTATAAAAAACTGTATATATTATAGATATTGATAAAGATTCACAATACATACATACTTCTGGATATACACAGGTTTGAGACTTTATGTTTCTTACATACTTCTCTGGATCTGATGAGAAGTAAATGTCTCTACCAAGAATCAAATATATGAGACTAATCCATCATTAATAGAATTCAGTATTCCGCAAGAGCTAAGGCTGCATCTTCATAATCATTTCAATGGCTGTAATTTAATGATGAAGCTTGTCTATGTTTTTCTTTTTGACAATGAAATTTCAGATGGTGACAACAGCAATCCAGTCCCTGGTTTAGAAATATGAGATTGATATCGCTTCTTTGTTGAGTGGGGCTAGATCTAGGTGCTGAATTCTTGCTCTTTCCATGATTCCCTTATTAAGAACTTCTGGGCTTTTCAGGCTATGGCTGAGATGGAAAGTGCCTCCCATGGCCCTCTCTGAGCGTGGCTCTCAGTTGTCCCATGGCAATCCACATGAGAAGAAAATAGCCAGGCATCTGGTCTCATTTAACAGAGCCTAGAACTGAGTAACATACCCTAGAGGTCCTTAGGCAACAGATGAGAGCAGAAACCTTTAATTTGAGATTCATTTAGCAAAGAGCAAAGAAGATCTGACAACAAAAGGGTGAACAGTAAGTGCTGAAGAGAGGTGTGGACGGCTTTTGAAAAGCTTTCGGTGGTTATGATCACATTGGCAACATTGAGGAATGACATAATCCTGGCTGGGATATACAAGAATCCTTCCAAAAGTAACTACACTCTATAAACTTTGAAACAAAGGAACCAGCATGCTCTTTATGGAGGAGCCCTAAAGGGTATAAAATTATGTGTCTCTCCTGAAGTCTGGTTCTGATGGGGCACATTCTCATCAGAACCTTAGTTCTGGTATCTGAAGCATTCACCCAAAGTCCCCAGAAGCCATTTTTTAAAGAGCACACACTTTCTCAAATCATGTTGATTCCCATTCTGTTTTGCATCCTTTCTTACCTGTTTTTGCTCTTCTCCTAAACCATCCCACATGGAAGCCACAATTTTAGAGACTTCACCAAAGGTAGCATTTGGATTTTGGCCCTTAATGGCGGCCTGAGTATCACGGAAGAACAATGCGTAGGCAGACACAGGCTTCTGCGGCTCGTTTGGGTCCTTCTTCTTCTTCTTTTTGGGGGTTTTTGGTTTTTTCCCCATGTCAGAGGCAGGTCGCTTCTCTCCACCATTGATCTGAAATAAAGATCATATTACATACACCATAAGGGAACTTGGAAAATTTGGGCACAAATCATATTGCTTTCTCCTTTGAGACTTAAACAGATATACTCACCCATACCAGGCATTCCTGAGGGACACTTAGCTTTGTTGTTGTTTTTAGACAAAACATTGTACTTCATGTAGTTTGCATGCTTCTCCTTCTTTCAGCCCAATTTATGTGGCTTTAGAATAATTTTTTTCTTTTTATAATATTATTACACTATTAAATATTTCCCTTAATTCTTTTGACTTTTCCCTTATCTCATTTAGGAAGCTGAATGACGAGTGGCAATGTAACTGTGGTAGCAGCAGATTCCTCCTGTATGAACAATTTACCTCTGGGGAGTTTATCCTTTATTTTCCTAATTATGATTTTTAAAAAGTAGTGGGCAACATGTCCAATAAATAAAGTTGAATGGCTTTTGATGTGCCTTAGGTCTATGGAGCTAGTGTGCTGTTGGGAAAACCTAGCAATGCTCCTGGTTTGCAGACTAGCATCATCAGTGCTGTCCAACAGAACTTTCTGCAATGAGGGTAATGTTCTATAATATACACGATTTAATAAGGTAACTACTAGCTACATGTAACTAATGAGCACTTGAAATGTGGCTAGAATGAATAGGGAACAAACTGTTAAGTTCTATTTAATTTTGATGGCTTTAAATTTAAACAGCTACACATAGTTAGTGGCTGCCATATTGGAGAATGCATCTCTAGAAACTAGTCCTAGAATCTAGACATTTTTTAGAATCACCTTATATCCAGTTTAATAATAGATTTTATTTTCTTCCATTTTCCTCAAGTATAAATATTTGGATAATTTTGATATTCTGATGCAAGTGGGAAAGACACACCAAAATATATTTCAGACATCTGCATCTGAATATTACTTTTTGATATGAACTAATTACATGCGATGTCACTTCATGCACCTCTTCAGGGTGAAATACTTTGGCTTGGATTTCTTTCTAGCTCTAAAATTATATGAATCAATATGAATATACAGTAGTGCTGTCTTTGAAGGAATCCTCTTCCTACATGCCTCTCTGCCCGACACAAGGCCCACGTGTACCATCTGCTGATGGAGCCACCATAGTCACAGGAGGTTTTGCGCCTTCACCTTCTATTGCTATGGCTGTTGATGCTCTGCTTCTCTCTGCAAACCTAAGGTAACATATATCTGACTTGGACAGGTTGCCAGGCAGGGTGATTTGGGTAAAATAACTATCACCATTGGAGAAGAAGCATAATATCCTGAGAAGCCAGTGGGTAAGACGTAAGAGAATCTAGACCCAGGCCCTCCCTTACCATTTTTAGCTGTGTAATCTCCAGCAAATTACAAAATTTCTCTGGGCAAACCAGCTGCAGTGCTGTTTTGTGATTACTGAAAGGGTACACATTTATACACATTTACAATTTCAAAGTGATATTCCAGTGTTCATTATGACATGGTAGAAACTTAAAATTTTACTGAATGAATAGGCAGAAATGAACTTCGTACCAGTTTGTGATGCTGTATGGTCATGGTTTAAGAGCTATACCCCAAGAACTAAAAAGAGAAGGGGAAAGTTAAGTGAATTCATCGGCTTTGCCTTTAGTAAGGGAGATATTCAAAAGATTCTCCCTTTGAAACTGTCTACTGAAGCAGAGCAGATCAAACCACCCCAAGGGAACAGGATGCTCTAAACTGAGCTGACAAGCTAATGCGGTCAACACTGGAAGATACCTTCCTAAGGATGGATCTGAGAGGTGATCCTGTGACATGATTGGTCCCCACAGAAACCCACCAGAGGATCAGCATGCTGGGGCTGAATTGATACTGGAAAACTAGCATTTAGCTCTTACCTAAACACGTGGGCAAATATGACCTAGAAAGTGATTCTCAAATATGGCTGCACATTAGAATACCCGGGAAACTTTCAAATACTACCAGGGCGCCCAGACTTCACTGCAATGAAAGCAGAATGTCCACTACTGGAGACACTACCGTCAGTCACTGGCATTAACTCTAATCCTATAACTAGTATTTAAGTCCTTCAGAGTCAAACAATGGAACATCCTCTTTGCCCGGACAGGCTTCATTGTAGCTGTAACTTTCTACTCTTCACAACCAAGCTCCTCCAAGTGGTTGGCTGCATTGGCATGTACAGCCTCTGCAAATCATTTCCGTGTGCCTCCCACCACTTGGTGCTCAGTGAGGTCCCTAAGGGCCACACTGCTAAATCCAGTGGACCTTTCAGTCTTCCCTTCTTTCTGTGGGTGCCCTGTCCTCTGAGGCTTCTGTGGCATCACAGTTCTTCGGCTTTACTTTCTACCTTGCTGGCCTCTCTGTTTCTGGAATCATTTTTAGGCTCATCCTTCTCCATCCGGCCATTAAATGGTAGTGTTTCTTATGGGTGTTTTTTTTTTTTGCTGCAAACTGTCCTCTTTTTTGAGTTTGTATTTAGGTAATTCCAAAAGCACATAGTGTTTCCATTACCTTTTTGGGGTGGGTGACTGTCCTGTCAAGTTCGTGTTTTCTCTGAATGTTAATAGTAATTTTCTGGGTTATAGGCTGAATCTTTATGGTTTACTCCTTTATATTTTTTATCACTTCCTAATTTTGTAAACATGACCATTCCTGTATTCACAATAAGATAATACTAATTAAAAAGAAAACTAAAAATGAGTCAACAAAGTCCACAATAAAGGATGTCAAGGACTGGGAATATTTAGAAACAGGGAACAAAGTGTAGGAAAATGAATGCTTATCCATATGGACTAATACCTGGACTCATTTTACATTTTAATTTAAAAATTAATAACACTGTAATCTCCATGACTGCAGATTATATCAGTCTTTTTGGAAAATGATCAGATGTCAGAGAGATAAATTTCCTATGATGCAATGCAAATATACTTATTAAATTTTTTTCCAAATTTAATTTTTCCAAATTGTTTAAATAATGTCCCTCTTCCATTGTCCAAAATTGTCTTTGAACCACTGATTGTCCAGCTGCTTTCCTTTTAAATTAGTATTTGGACTATGCAGTGCTGGTTTCCGATCTCCTGGATGTGTGATGTTCTGCTGTCATGGAAAGGACAGTCACCCTTTACTATGGTAACATGGCCCTACTTTCTAGGGATGACACCTGGTAACAGGAGAAGCTGTAAGCTCTATCAAGTGTATCGAATCCACAAATTATCATTTTGAGGCCATGCATAGCAACCCTATTGGAAACTCTTAAACAATTCCATGCAAGTAATCAATTTAGTTCATTGTCTGGAGGCTTTCCCTATTGTGCTGGCTTGTCTGTAGGGTCAACCAAATGCAGTCTTGATCAATCTCAGTTTCATTTAATAGAAGCGAGCATTTCATGACTAGTTCATGACTTCTGCCTCCCATTTTCAAAGCTCAGGAGCTATCGCTTACACATTGTGGAGCGTACCTCCACGGCATCAGACCAAGTACCTGGGAGGCGCTAAAGCAGGGCCGTCACTCCCCATTAAGGCCAGTCTCCCAGTCAGTCTCATACCTTTACAGCCGCTCTGTCTTCACCATGTCTGAAAGCAGAAGTACATCAATACACCTTCCTTTTAAATACTCATGCTAACCTCCGCTTGAATTATCTTCCATGCAAAAAAAACCTGACATCTGAGAAGACCCATGTAAAGGATACACTTAAAATATTCATTTCCTTCAGTAATTAAACTAGATCACTAAGACTATGTTCTTGGATCCTAACATTCTGATTGCTTATAGAATTAACTCTCATAGAACTGAACTATGATTGAAGATAATGGCCTTTCACTTCAGGCTGTTACAACAGGACAAAGAAGAAATACAAAACTATGTATGAAAGATCTCTATTTTCAAAATAAATGAATGAATGAATGAATGAATGAATGAATAAATAAATAAATAAATAAAGTGTGGTTCGAAGGGGATCATTTATTATTATAGCTCAATGTTCCCTGTATGAAGACTTACTGGGTCTGCACAGTATCTTTGCTTTTAGGAGCAGTATGATGGAATGAATATTTCCTGTTGTGGTTTGCTGTCTAATGTATCCAAGTACTTGGGAAGTACTCTATGCAGTGTAAGGCTGTGTGCCACATAACCACTGACTGGTATTCCTTCACATTTGTGGGGGTCTTATTTTTTTTATTCTGCATTTTTCTGTGTTTGGGAGGGTACAGACATGAACTGCTGTTTTAGGTTCTGTGTAATGAATGGGGAATTTGTAAGGCCTACTCCCGGAGGTAGTTTCAGCACATATTTGAAAAATGCATGGTCACTGCTAATATGCAAAATAGAAAAAAGTGTTGCTATAATTTGGATCTGCTTACATGCCAGTAACAGGATTGCATTTTGAAAAATACCTGACTTTTTTGACCACCAACTATTTCTAATGAACACAGAAACGATGAATATGAGTGTGGTGGAAAAATTAGCTAAACGGACTTGTATTAGGTCCCTGGACCTTAATTTTGAATATTGTCTGGGTCCTGAATTATTTCAAAGATGGATGAAAGCTTAATATTTCACATCCTATTCTTTCAGAAGCCCCAGTTTCTAAAGTCATCAGTTTTGACAGAGCAGCACTGTCTCATAGAATTTTCTGGAAAGATGGAAATGTTCTGTGCTGTCCAAAAGGTAGCCACTAACCACATGTGACTAGAGAGCACAAAAGGGTAGCCACTAACCACATGTGACTAGAGAGCACATTTGGCTAGTGCAACTGAAGGAGTAGAATTTTTACCTATTTAATTTTAATTATTTAAATTTAAATGTACATAGTCATACATGACTGGTGGCTACTATATTGGACAGTGCAGTGTTGTACACTGGGCACTGTTCTAGAAAACAGTATTTCTAAAATTCCTAGGGTTCTAAAACTGGAGAGTAAAATTTAATTCTGACATCGTAATCTTTAGAATGAGGAGAAACCATGTAATGCAAAACTATAAACTCCCCAAGATGACAAGCACAT